TAGAATGAATGAATGAATGAAGGTTGTTTAGTTGAAAACCTTCTGCAAATGACCCTATAAAAGGGACTGACTCATGTTTGCTGTCATGACGAACTCTGCTGATCTTTTACATTTGGAACAAGTTTTAGATCTTTTTATTTTGGTTTTCTTTTAGCAAACAGGCCTTCAAAGTAAATCCTTAACAAGACTAAATGACAGGAGCACATACTTACCCTCCACCGAGACACCACAGCCCCCATCCTGTGAGGGCAGTCCTTCCTCTCAGAGCCTGGCTTCTGTTACACTTATTACTCCAGGCCAAAGCCACACACCTGTTCACACAATGAAGGAAACATTACACTAACAAACAAGCTCATGATAGATTGGTTTTCTACTTGATTTGATATGATATGAGGATTAGAGAACGGATTATAAAGACTCTGTAGACTTTTAATTATAAATAGCAGTCGCGTACAGATACAAATGTAAGAATATTGCAGCATTATCAATAAACAACAAAAACAAATGCTAATTGAGGCTTTTATAAGAACAAACGCATGATGCTGGTACTCCTCAATTTCACACAGGAGTAGATCAGTAACCACAGATGTAGATTAATTACCTAATTATTTGGATATCTTTATATCTAATTAATAATATTCACTTATCTAATTTAATTATTTAAATCAAGCATCAACATGAGCATGTACAAACGTTGTCCTAATTTTCAACAGCACATCTATTTATAGTTGAAGTCAGAATTATTAGCACCCCTGAATTATTAGACCCCGTTTATTTTTTTCCCCAATTTCTGTTTAACGGAGAGAAGATTTTTTTTTACACATTTCTAAACATAATAGTTTTAATAACTTATTTATTCAAGACACTTCTATAAAGCTTAAAGTGACATTTATCTTAACTAGTTTAATTAGGTTAAGTAGGCAGGTTAGGGTAATTAGGCAAGATATTGTATAATGATGGTTCGTTCTGTAGACTATCAAAAAAATATTTAGCTTAAGGGGCTAATAATATTGACCTTAAAATGGTCCCTAAAAAAATAAAAACTGATTTTATTCTAGCTAAAATAAAACAAATAAGACTTTCTCCAGAAGAAAAAATATTATCAGACATACTGTGAAAATTTCCTGAATCTCTTAAACATCATTTGGGAAATATTTTAAAATAAATAAATAAATAAAGAGGCTAATAATTCTGACTTCAACTGTATATCTTTACCATTTCAAAATGATGAAATATAAATAAACTTTGAGAACTGCTTCACTTGAAACATAAAACCGTTCTTTACGATAAATATCACTTGACCTTATATTTTGTTTTCTGAAGAAATAGCATGCATTAAATCACATTTTAAAAGTGCAAACACTTTCTGTAATCACTGTCTCTAAGGTTGTTTCTATAAAGGATACAGCTGCAGACAGAATTTAATAATAATTATTTATATAATTTATTGAAATACCTATTTTTGTATTTTATTAAGGTATACCCCAACCCCAACTCTAAACCAAACCCTCAAGGTAATGTAAAACAGTAATTATAACTAATTATTATATTAATAATATATGAGCAATTCCATGAAAATGTCAACCTTATCATGAAAAAATAAAACTTTTGACCAAAATAACAAAACCTATTTAAATTTGCTTATTAAGGTCTATATTTTATTGTTTTGATGTGCTCTTGTTGAATTTTATAGGAAATTGATTTGTTTATCCATGAAATACGAGGATTGTGCCAGTGGTAAATTTCATTATCATCCAACCACTTTTCATGCTTTCATAAAAGGAGTTAAAGTCTCACCTTTTCCATGCTTTATGTTAACAGTAATCATTCTGCAGAAGGATTGGAGTCTGTAGTATAAATAATTACCCTTACTTTTTCATAACATTATTGCCCTTTTGATTTATAAGCTACATATTTAAGACATCACGCAGCTTCTGTCACGTTTCACATCCGTAACTATTTAATGAAAAAGTTTATTTCTATTTTATTAACATCTACACCAACTCTAACCCATCACAGTAATGTAAAAATAAAAAATATATTTTGTTGTAGTGTAATAACAAAAATGATGCTATATTGATGTGACTATCAGCAGCTGTATCCCTTCTAGACTTCAGCGTCTCTTGCACAGGCAGATTTAGATGCACAAGATGAGTGATATCAGATGTCACCATGGCTCACACAAAATCTGGAGGCTCTGAAAAGTAACAAGACACTCCTCTATTTTAAACCACACAGTCCTCAAGAGCACAAACAGAGGTGCCTTAAACCCCATTGACTCTGAGTAAATGGATTTATTAATCAAGTTCAATAATAAGAGCTGAATCCAAGAGCATGTAGATGTGGTACATTGGGGTAAAATTGGTTCAATAATCACACATTCAGACTTTCATCTTCTTAATACAATATCAGAAAAGTATTCAAAATAAGATTAATCATATCAGCAGCCAATTACTATCAAAACACATTGCTTACCAGGGTTTCTGCAGGGTTCACAGAGTTAAATTTAAGACTTTAAGACATTTTTAAGACCACTATGAGTGAAATTTTAGACTCATTAAGGGCTAAAGGCTAAGGAATATTTCAAAAGCCCAGATAGAAAAGATTTTTATCTGCCTTATCAAAAAATATTATAATTTAACACATTTAATAATACAATAATAGATTAATAATAATAATATACATTTATATATGGTAGATTTTAGTTCTTAGCTAAATATTTTAAATATCGTGTAAAAACAAGCAAGCTCTACTTGTGTCCATTCCACACACTTTTCTTTCCCAACATAAACTTTCTTTAAAATAAAAAACAAATGTTTTAAAAAAAATTTAAAAACATAATAAACTAAATCTATGCACAACAATCTGACCAGGTCAGTGCCCTCAGCAGTAAATGCATAGAGAACTTTTAAAGAAATGTTAATGTAAGGAAATAATTAAACAAATATGATAGAGTTAAAAAAAAAAAAAACCTTTTAAAAAAAAAAGTTTTATTGAGATGGATTGTTGTTGATTGTATGGGTTTTGGTTAAATTGGGTAGCAATACATGAACAAAGAAAAATTAAGACTTGTTTAAAAAAGATTTAAGACTAACAATGTGATTACCTAGGCTAAAAGATGTAACCATTTTATAAGATGTAAAAAATAAAATAAAAAAAAACAGCGACTGCTAGCCAGTTTTGAGGAAAACACCATGCTGTGGGCCACACACTGTTGAACATCAACTAAACTAACAAAATAATTGTTGGATTTAGAGTGTAATGTTAAGAACTTTTTTATATAAAATGTTTTTAATAGAAAATATTTAATAGAAAAAAAATTATTTTATTGCTGATAATGCAAATAAATGCAGTGTATAATAATGAATAATAATGTAAATACATCTGAATGTGTTTATCCAATAGATAAATACATAGGTAAGCATGTGCTATATATATATATATATATATATATATATATATATATATATATATATATATATATATATATATATATATATATATATATATATATATATATATATATATATATATATATATATATATATATATATATATATATATATATATATATATATATATATATATATATATATACATATATATTTATGACTAGGGATGCACTGGATTTTTGGTTGCTGAAAATTATTGGCCAAAATATAATTTTCAATTTTCAGCTGAAAGAGAAACATGGATGAAAGCTGTAGTCACTGCATGGTGTGAAACTCTTTTCACACCGAAAATATCTATGAAGCCCTTTATTTTAATGGCTTGTGCTGGTGGTTTGTTGCAGCACCAAGTGCACCGTCAACTAGCTTGCACACATGCCATGACCAAAATTTAAAGTAGCTCAATATTCTATTCTGTGGATATTCAGCTCATGTACCTGTACACTTGTCTATGCATGAACTGCACATGCTCAAATGAAATGTAAAGTTGGCTCAAATAACACTCCAACAGGACATGTATACGCAGTATACTCAGGCCCGTAGCCAGCCTATTAAAAGGAGTGATTCTTTTTTTTATCAAAAAGTGGACCTTTTTGTTAGTTATTCACCTCTTTTTTTGTTAAATCATGAGGATCAAATACTGCATTTCAGTGACATTTTAAGCATTAAATTTTGCTGCATTTGC